ATCCTGTGGCTGCCTCCATTGAACCTCCTTCATCTGACCTGGGGTGGTGCCTGGCCTTGGACCGCATTTCCCAACCTTGTTTGTCTCCAGTGACCTGTCATATTCACCAGTACCAAGTAAATCTTTCCAACCCATAGCTTTCTGCTGGTTTCCTGCTAAAGAAATCAATATGACAGCCTGCTACCAATTAGATTGAGACCCTTCATCTTACTTTCAGCCCTTCATCAGTGGGGACCCTCCTCCATTCATCATTTATACTCCTATACCCCAAATGCAGCTTTCCTCGAGTCCCCCCAGATGCCCACTTCCTTTCTTGCCCACCATCTCTATTTTGCTCATGTGGTTTCGTTAGTCAGATATCCTTTCCCTACCCAGAGTTGATGTTTCCTGTAGGATGGAGTTGATTCATAAAAATTACCTCACTCACCCCAGTCCAAAAAGTGATTTATTTCCTCTAGTATTAATAATCAAGATCAGTATCCTGTACCTGTCATTAGTAGGATTGTTTTTATTTATTTTTATTTTATGTGTATGTGTGTATTGCCTGCATGTAGGTAAGTGCACCAGTGTCATGCAATGTCCACGGAGGACAGAAGAGACTGTCGGATCCCCTGGAACTGGAGTTACAGACAGTTGTTAGCTGCCATGTGGGTGCTGGGATTCGAACCTGGGTCTTCTGCAAGAACAACCAGTGTTCTTAACCACTGAGCCATCTCCCCAGCCCCTTGTTCTTTTTTTAAACAAAATCTTTTTGTTTTAATTTTTAATTTATTTGTATTTTATGTGTATGAGTGTATTGCCTGCTTATATATAAATGCACCCATGTGTGCAATGCCTGTAGAGACCAGAAGAGGGCGTTGGATCTCCTGGAACTGGAGTCATGGATGTTTGTTTGCTGCCATGTGGGTACTGGGAACTGAGCCTGGGTCCTCTGCAAGAACAGCCAGTGCTCTAACTGCCAAGCCATCTCGCCAGTCCCTAGGTATTGTTCTTATTATTATATGTAAGTACTAACTCATTCAGTCCTAAAAATATCTCTGAGAGGTAAATGTCCATCCACTTGATCTTGAGATAAGGAAACTGAGGCTCAGAAGGTGACCTTGCCCAAAGTTACATTGACATCTGATACCGAATCCAGGTCTTACTTCTCACTAAATGTTCTTTTGTTTTTTGTCTTACAGCAGACTCTGATTGCAAAGTGGATGTATTTTGCTATTCTTTTGCAGTTGGCCTGGGTGACCACTGAGAACATGATATGGATTTGACCCACTCACTGATGTGGGCTTCTGACTTTCAGTCTTAATAATACAATGACCTCAAATAAGTTGAGCAATTTATAAAAGTACTGGTCACCAAGATTATGTGCCCTAGTAAATAACAGATTATAATCAGCATGAGGACAAAGTGACCAGTAACATCTTGATAAGAAGAAACCACTCAGCCTCCATGAGCTCCTTTCTCCCATTTCCTCCTTTGGACAAAGAAAACCCAGGAGGTTAGACACCTGAGTGCTCATTGCTATTCTGAACTCATTTTGCTTCCAACTCTTATTCAAACCATCTCAGGGGCTTTGTTGACATTATCTGCTAACAATTATAGCCCATCTTTCCAAACAGAGAGATGCACCAGTCTGTCAAACAACACCCTTCCCTCTGCAGAGATCTGAGGTCGCCTCTGAATTGACAGGGTGGGCAAGCACTCACTGTGGGGCCAGCCTCCGGTGCCAAGGCCCTGGGTGCGTTTCTACGGGGTAATATTTACAGTGTTGGATGACTGGGCTCTGTGAAGCTTAATGGGATTCTTAATAGAGGCGGGCTTCATTAAGGCACGGAGCACAGACAACGTGCCCTTGCTTTGGAGGAAAGGACAACCCAGCACAAGACGAATGTTCCCTCTTGGCTTGGAAATCATGTGGGTCAAGTGCCTTGTCATGCATTAACAGCCTTTTTAAGTTGCTAGGCAGACTGAGAGGAGCGGCATAGATAAATGAAGGCAGAGGAGCCATGCGATCAGTCTTGATAGCACCAACACTGAGACACAGCAGCTGCATTTAAACAGAGCAATTTGCTAAATGAGTGGCTGGCGACTTTCCAGGTGGCCAATGTGACACGAAGGGATGAATCCTTCTTTCAATCATGCATCTGTCTAGGCTGAGGCATGAAAGACCAGGTCATAGTTACTGCAGTAGCAGCAGCAGCAGCTTTGAAACCCTTACATGAAACCCTCCTGTTGTGGCCAGTGAGGCAACTTGGCTGCAGCTCAGCTGGAATGAGTGAGGTGGTGTGGTGCTTGGGATGCAGCCAGGAAAGCTTTCTCTTAGACAAATGACAGTCAGCTCAGAAAAGGGACTCCCGTTGTGGCCAGTGAGTCAACTTGGCTGCAGCTCAGTTGGAATGAGTGAGGTGGTGTGGTGCTTGGGATGCATCCAGGAAAGCTTTCTCTTAGACAAATGACAGTCAGCTCAGAAAAGGGACTCTTCCTGTGTCTGCCTACTGCATTGCTTCACACACTTCTAGGTCCCTTGGGCAGGTGATCTTAATACAGGATGAAGCCTTAGGCTCTGGCTAAGAAGCAGAAATGCCAGTGTGTCCTTTGCTGTCATTTTTAATATGCATCATTGAAATAATTTAAAATCATTTTCATGTGCTTTGTCCTTTTTTTTTTTTTTTTTGGTGCAGGGATTGAACCCAGGGCCCTGTGCATGCAGGCAAGTGTTCTGCCATAGAACTACACCTGCAGCCCCTCCAGGTAAATTTTGAAATTCCCAAGCCAGATGGAAGAATCTTAACTTTCAGACATGGTCCCTCTCGCTGTGCTGTCTTCCCACTCCTAGCATTTAATTCTGTCTTGCTAGGACTTTGCTAGAGATGATGTTATTAAGACTCCAGCTATAAATGTGTGTGTGTGTGTGTGTGTGTTTTGGCGGGGAGGGGGGTAGACCAGATGATCAATCAGTCTTGGTCCCTCAAGATCTGTGAAATATTGAAACCAGGCCAGGCAAGCTGCAGTCACTGGAAGGACATCGCTCCACTCTAGTATAATGAGCAAGAATGAGGATAAGCAAAAAAGGGCAACTTTATTGACTGGCTTCACTGGGATAAGTTACACCCCCAGGCCAGTTTTAGTTTGTTATTGTAATAATAAGCTTTTGTGGGCAAGGATTTAGCTGGGTTCTTCAGCAGCCCTTGGAATTTCAGTTACTAAGTGGCCCAGCCCCAACCCACACTGGAACCCACCTTGTAGGCACTGAGCCCTTTACCTTCCACACCGAGCCCTGGCTCCCATTCACTTCTGACTCAAGAGGAAAAGTTTAATACCATGAATCACCAGTAAAACTTCCTGAGGCATCTGGGGGGAAAACTACAGTTTGCTGAGGAAGAACACCGAATCACTTCATTGACTGGATTCTGATCTACACTGGGTGGAAAATTTTGAGTTATTTGAGTTCTGCTGCCTTTCTCACTAACATTTTCCTTCCTCAGAAGTTTCTTGTCATCAGGACTAAGTGACCCACAGCCAGTCAGACGTAAACAAATGAACTGAACAGGACTGATGGGGAGGGGGCGGTAGCATTATCCTCCTCCTGGGTCACTCAGATAGTACGTCTTTGTCTATGGCCACATTGCCCTGAATAGGCCCAAATCTTGTCCGATATCATGCTTTCCTGCCTTTTCCGAGCCTGGGTTTCTCATCTGGATCATAGAGCCCAAGACATTATTTGAGGGACAATTTTCTTTTCTCAAGGGTGGTACCTAACTTGTATCATTCTATAGGTACTGGTGAAACTGATGCATACATATGAGATTGCCTTAGTGCATGGTAGACCCAGACTTCTCCATGGAAGTGTGGGTGGTGAGAGCCCAGGCTATGGAATGGGAGTTGGTATAGTCCACAGAGACAGCAAGGCAAGAACTCTGTGATAGTTCCAAATCTATTCAAGTGCTGGCAATAGGAAACAATGCAGAAAAGGGATAAAAGTTATGTAGTAATCTCAAATAGGTTTCTAGGCCTGGTGAAGTGGCTCATCATGACTGACTGTCAATCTGAGTTCAATGCCCAGGCCCTATGTGGTGGAAGGAGAAAACTGAATCCTGAAAGTTGTCCTCTGATCTCCACATGCCCACAGTGGTATACACACGCTTGCGCGCGCGCACACACACACACACACACACACACACACACACACTCTAATAATAATAATAATAATAATAATAATAAATAATACTGAAAGAAGTCTGTGTGCCTTCTTCCTGCACCTAGCACTTAATTTCATGAATTAAACACTTAATTCCATTGAACACTGTTGAGAGAAATGCTTGCATGCATGATCCTAGGCTGGCTTCAGCAATCTGAAGGACCCACAAGGACAGTCACTCATGGAGCAGCTATCACAGTAAGTAATGAACAAGGTTCCCCAGCCTTTGTCAGCAGATCACAAACATGGCTTCTCTTCTGCTAAGATGACTGGATCCCTGGTGCTGGGGATACAGGACAATAAAGACATGCAAACTTTTCAGTCCCCGAAATTTGTCAATGCATGGCTGGGCGGCAGATTAGATGGCAAGGCAGGCACAGTTAGTGCTTCCCGCCTTATGAATAAACGGGATTCTCTCTTTCACACACCTCTGAAGCTTAGCCAAATGGCAACCTGAGCTGTTTAACACCATATTCATTTAAAACCTTTTCCCAGCCTAAGGAAAAATTTGATTTTTAAAATGAGCATCAAATTAGGTCTTAAATATGGTTTGAAAATGTCATGACTTTTTAATATTCGAATATGGCTCCACAAAGTCACGCAGATTGACATTTTATTCCATTTCAGAGCTGTTAATTAAGAAGCACAGATACTAGCAGCGAAGATGAAAGCAGGAGAAGCTTCCAGCTATTCCTAAAATGCAATGCAACCCTGATTTGCTTAGAACCTAAATCTGAGCAGAAGCACAGAACACCTGTCATGTCATTCACATGGGGCCCACTAGGGGGCAGTGGATGATTGAGTCTCAAGCACGAGAGCTTTTATGCTGGTTGCTATCTGGGCACCTGAAGTGTGGTAGGCACTTCATACACAAAATGAGCAGTGCTGCAGCGGTGACAGTTGGGGAGCAACCAGTCATCGCTCCCAGCACGGTCTGTCAGAAGGACAAAGTGAAATGGATCATTTGCATTTTCACCAATGAACTTGCATTCTAATGAACAGGCAATGTCTCCTGGACCTGCCCTGGTTTCTCTCTAGAAGGCAGTAACCAGGCTGGACTATACATGGGAAAGCAGCCAGGAGGAGACAGAGGCAGAAGCAGGGAACTCTGCTTACAGGGGCTGGTCACTACTGGGCACCACGGACCAAAAGAGGCCTCCTTTCTGCCATGCAGTCCCTGCCAGTTTCCATCTGGGGAATTCTCGACTGGAGGCTGTGTGGCACAAATCCAGGGCATCATTCCTGCACTAGTCTGTATGAACGGCGTCCCCTAGAGCTGGGCAGCACATAGCTCACCATCTCTCTCACCACCTGAGCCTTGGGTTGTAGGTCTCTGGAGGATTAAGTGCTCTCATCTGCTCTTTCCTGTGTTCCTCCTATGTAAAAGCATCTGCACGAAAAGGCTTCAGGGAGAGGAGAGACACAGCACCCCAGAGAAACTAGGAAAGGGGGCCAGGTAAAAATCAGTTTCTGCATGCGCCATCTTTCCACCATTCCCTCCTGTCCTGACCCAAACGGCTTCCTAGGAAGATTCTAGAATATCCAATCATCCAGCTTTGGTTGTGTTTGCATCACTTATGTCTCTTCTGGAGGAGAGTTTTTAAGCATTTAAGCATTTAAGCCTTAGTCCCAGTCGTGAAGCAAAATACAGGTAAAAGATTTCTCCCTCTTGGCTAGAAGACCTTCCAGGGGAAGGCAAGCCGCTGTGCTGTGCTGTTTCCCAGGTCTCCAGGGCTCTCAGAGGCACACATCCCTTCCCAGCCCATGTCTTCACACATCTGTTTACCAGGAACATTTTTGTTTGTTTGCTTTTTGTTTTGTCGTGTTTTGTTTTGGTTTTGGTTTTTGAAGCAAGGTCTCCCTCTAGCTCCAGGTGACCTGGAACTCGATATGTAGACCAGTCTTTCTTGGATCTCACAGAGATCTGCCTGCCTCTGCCTCCTGAATACTGGGATTAAAGGTATGTGCCACCATGACTGGACCAGGACTATTCCTTTTGTTTATTTGATAATCATCAAAGACTAGGGTTAAGGGCTTAGACTAGTCACCTGTTCGGGAACATAGAAACTTGGACAAATTTCATCCTTCCCTGTGCCTCAGTTTCTTCATTCTCATAAATGGTCATGAGACCATTTGGGGTATAGTCGTATGAAAAGACACTAAAAACATCAGGCATGTTAGCTTGCAACATGAGCATGTTAGTGAACAGCACTTGTATGTTAGTGAGTACCATGTTAGTGAGCACTGTATATTAGTGAGTACCACGTTAGTGAACACTGTACATTAATGAGCACCACGTTAGTGAGCACCACATGTTAGTAAGCAACACACACGTTAATGAGAACCACACACATTAGCGACACTACATGGTAGTATCACACTGTAAGCACTGCACACACATGAGCACCATGCATTTGTCAGCAAGCACCACATACATGTTCTCTGAATGTTTTTGTTCTTATCACACTGTTTTCCTTTCTCTTTTCCTCTTCATTCCATCTCAGCTTCAGGACACAGATGCTGCCATTGGAGTCCTCCACCTTACTCCTCCCGAAAAGCATAGCAGAGGACATTCTGGTCCTTGACTCAGTTCTAGGCCCACACCTACCTGGTCATCACCATAGAGGATCAGGCACTTGTCAGGATCCGTGGAACTGAAGCAAAAAATGCAAATACAAAACACTGCTTCAGACAGGACATCAAGAACACAAACTGGGGCTGGGGTCTGGCTAAAGGCCTTCATGGCGTGTTCTATAACAGTCTTGGGAACACACTTGTTTGCCTGGATCAGAAATAATTCTCAGCTTTCTTTAAGCATCTACTTCCATTGTGCAGATTCATGATTAAAATAAGAAACTTATTTTAAAAACCAGTGCAGCACAGGGGATGAGAGAATCATAAGGAGATGCCTGGGCCCTAAGGTCTGAGAGTAGATTATGCACCGCCTTCATGGCCTGGAGGAGGGATGGGGAGTCCCAACATGGCCACCTATACATCTGTCCCACCCGAAGGGAAGAAGGAAGAAAGGAGATCAGTTCCCATTTGAGTCTGGCTCCAAGGCTTTGGGTGCCACAGGCTTGTGCCAGAACTGTAGTTTGGGGAAGCAATTCTAACGGAGAAAGACTTGAGTATGGTGGGGCTGGTGAAGAGCAGGAGGGGGCGAGAGTGGGAACTGAGTGGCAAGGCATTAAGTGGTGTGACAAATGCCTAGGACTATGTACACAACTAATATGGTACTTGGAAGGGTTGGATGCAAGGAGGTGGAAGCACCAGCTGGAGTCTGGAGTCTACCCCATACCCACTGCAAGGCTTGAGGCCATTGTGTGGCCATAATAAGGTGTGAATAATGGGCCAATGTGTATTTGACTTGCTCAGTTCCAAAGACAGGAAGGACTGACTGGAGACATTCTTTTCTTGGGTCAGTATCCGAAAGCTGTCTTTTAAAAATGTTATTTATTTTTCTTTTGTATGTATGAGTGTTTTGCCTGCATGTAAATGCAACACCTGTCATGTAATGCCCCTAGAGGTCAGAGAGGGCATCAGATCCCCTGGAACTGGAGTTATAGAGGGCTGTGAGCCACCATGTGGGTGCTGAAATCCAAACCCAGTCCTCTGCAAGAACAGCCAGTGCTCTTAACCACTAAGCCATCTCTCCAGCCCTAGAGAAATGTATGTCTTTTAAATCCCTTATAATTATCTCACAGATAACACAAAACTCACACTAGATACTGTTTCTCTCTTTTTGTTTTTTTTTTGAAATCTAGGCAGCTCAAAGAGAAAGACAGTGTTTGCTTCTTAACATTGTTGAGGTTATTAAGGGCTTTATTTTGTTCATTGATTTTTATCTTTGTATATATATTTCACTTTTGTCTGCATTTATAAACATGTATGTTAGAATTCTACCGTATATTCTATTTTATATTCTTGCTGTAGATACTCCAGATTCCTCTTTTGGGCTGTGTTGTGATTAATGAACAAAAACAGGGAAACCTCTCTCCTCCCTCTTCTCTCCGCTCCCTCTCCCTCCCTTGTACCATCATGTTTTCATGTCACATGTACACAGACTTTATTTTCATACAAATACAGGGGCTTCATTTCTTCCCTGGGTACATAAGTAGTATACAGCTCTCCTGCTAGTTTGAGATCTGAATTTTATCACACACTGTCCTCCATCTCTAGCCTGCAGGGCTCTCCTGTACACCAGTATTCTGTTGCTTTTGCTGACTTTAACTTAATAGTAGGGCTTGATAGCTGTAATTTAAGTACTTCCTCATTATTATTTTTCAATATTTTCCTGTCCCTTATTGAATACTTACTCTTCTAAATAAGCATTAGCACAAACTTGTTAAGCTCCAAGAAAAAAGAAATCTCATAGAGATTCTGATTGGATGTTGAATTTGGCCTTTGGTGTTAGAGCATCTTCAAAATATAGAATTTTCTATCCAAGAACATAGACCCTTCCCATATATTCAAACTTTCTTTGTCTTTAGAAAAGGTTGTTAAGGTTATATCTGGGTTCATATAACAACGTGCCAATCCATGTCTTTGGGCAGAGAGGAAGTGAGAAAAACAGGGAGGGGTCGAGTTTCTGGGCTGAGGTCATGCTCACCTGTGGAGATGGGCCAGATCATTTCCCAGCAAAGGCATATCCAGTCCATGTAGGACTTTGAAAATATTAGCTAAGAGTGTTTGGCCATTTGAGTAAGTAGCAAGGGCAAAAATCATACATATCCCTTAAGGTAGCTCTCTGCTAAGCTGCCAAAAGGACTGTTTAGATCCCAAACTGTGTTTCTCCATAACTCCTATTTTTACCAAAGAGTTTAAACAGAGAGTTTAGGTCCCTGTACTCTACGATTTTCTTCAATAATATTCTGCTGTCCTGGTTAACTTAGTTGTTCACTCAAGAGTCTAGAGTCATCTGAGGAAGGAGTCTCAATTGAAGGATTGTCCAGATCAGAATGGCCTGTGGGTGTCTGTGAGAGAGTGTCTTGATTGTCAATCAAAGTAAGAGGGCCCAGCCCATTGTGGGAGGCATCATTCCCTGGGCAGGTGATCCTGGGCTGAATAAGACAGCTACCTAAGTAGGGGTCCATGAGCAAGCCAGCAAACAGTGTCTCTCCATGGTTTCTGCTTCTAGTTCCCACTTGAGTTTCTGCCCTAACTTCCTTCAAGATGGACTATAACCTATAAGCTGAAATAAACCATTTCTTTCCCTGAGTTGCTTTGGTCCTGATATTTGTCACAGCAATAGAATGAAACTAAAACAGCTGCTTATGTTTCTTAGGTATTTTACTATTAATTTTAAATACTCCTTCTAGTCCACTGGGTTTTCATCTTTAATCTCTTATCTCCAGATAGTCTTGTCTTCAACCTTAAGTCAGCCATTGTCATAATCATGACTTTGTCATTAGTTGTAACTGGGACACTCTCTTCTGTATATGAAATCTCACTTTCATACGGTCTACCCCCATTACTTACCTCTGCTGCTGCTGATACTAAGACTTTTCCCTGTCTGTGACCCTGTCATGCCTCCTGCTCCCTCTTGCCTGGCTTAAACTCCATTGCCAAGTAGAACCACTTCCTCCTACACCCTTGACTCCCTTGCTCTCTGTTTGCTCTTGCTTGACAAAGCAGCACTGGAGGTTGAGCCTGGCTTGATTTGCCTGTGTCCGTATGCAAATATAGCTGGGGACAAACCACAGAACTGGCTGAATGGCTTGACTTCAAATCCACAACCACAAACCACTAATGAGTTCTGAGTGCTTCTGGGAAGTTATCCTCACCTCCCATTTTCTAAGACCTTTCCACTTCTCCCTTTCTCTGCAAATCTCCAACCCTTCTTCCCCAGTCCCCTTTCTCAGAGAGGAACTCATGGAGAAAACTGCCCCAAAGGGAACCTCCACCAGTTCCCAGTTGCACCTGGACCTACCAGCTCAGCCTTCCCTCAGGTTCCTCAAGACGAACCAGCCATGCTTGTTTGCATTCTCAGTTTTCAGATTTTTACTGGCTCATTCCCAATAGCATACAAGCATGCTTTATTTCCCCCATTAGGGAAGTGGAAAGAGAAGCTTCTAGTACTGTCTCCATTTCCTCCTTCTGTTGTCTATTGACAGTGTTCCTGTCAAGGATTTACCCCCAGCTCCCACAGAAGCTGCCTCCCTGGTCAACCAGTGGCCTCCATGCTTACAAAGCCCATGAAAATGCTTAGTCCTCTTCTTTCTAGCAGCAGCCCTTGACCCTGATCTCTCTAGGCTCACGTATCTGGGTTCAGCCCTTACTACTTGCGCTCAAGCCACTGGCAAGAACAATACTCAGACACCTAGTTTTAATGCCATCTCTCTGAGTTAATGCTCACATACTAGTAATCTTGAATTTCTGGCACCAGTTCCTGGCTCTTTTTTCTCCGTAGCATTTGTCTTTTCTTTTAAAGATTTATTTTATGGTTATATATGTGTGCCTGAAGCCAGAAAGGGGTATTAGCTCTCCTGGAATTGGAGTTACAAGCAATTGTGAGCTGCCTGACCCAGGTGCTGGGACTGAATCCAGTCCCTCTACAAGAACAGCAAGTGCTCTTAATGACTGAACCATCTATCCAGCCCCTACATTTGTGTTTTCTAACATGATGCCTGATCACATGTTATGTGGATAGTTACTATCTATCTAGGAACCAGGCTATACTGGGGCAGGATTCTTGCCAAATTTTCTCATTAATATACTGCAAGTGCCCAGAATAGTGTCAGGCTCATAAGGGTTACATCAACCCATGAATGATGTACTGTGAAATTCCAGGCGACCACACGCACTCCTTGCACACACCAGGTGTGCTCCACCATACAACATCCAGACTTGCCTGGTCACACAACAGGTCATACCCACTCTCCCTCATGGTCCCACAGCGGTCTGCTCTTCCCTGTCCCCAATACCTGCCACTGTCTTGTTTTCCTGTCATATTGTTCTTCTCATCCCTTACTCTCTCAGAGACTACTTATTGATTTTGTACAATATCAGTCTCTTTCCACCCCAGTGTCAGTTCCCTGAGCCCAGTGTTTATTTTTCTCACTGCAGTATTGTCAGCACTGAAGAGATAGTGCTGATATCTGTTTGTGGAGGGGAACTCACTTAGAAAGTGCCCTTCATAAGGCTCTGTGTTTCCTGTGTGTCAATCAATAGTACTTCATCATTGTATTTACTGACTGATGGTTCAGCCCTACCCGGTTGCACCATGTCTGCCTGCATACAATACTTAGATTCCCAGGGAGCCATCATTCATTTGTGGCTGCTTGGTTAGAGACCCACTGGGATCCATGTCATGAGCAGCTCCAGGCAATCCTGGAGATCATAGGGCTCCCTGCCTCAGCCCCTGTTCTCCCACTGTATTCCCCCACAAACTCACACGTACTTGTGACCTTCCTGATTTCTGAGCTCCAGGTCCCACTCAGCCAGTCTCAGCGTTGCTGTCCAACCCACTCATGCTACTGTGTGTTAGTCAGACTTTGCTTTGAGCAAAATTCCAGATACAATGTAATGCTTGTTTTGCTTGCATTGTCCATTATGGTGGGGAGGTAGGGAGGGCATGGTGGAGCTGAATTGTGTGATTCTTGGCAGGTGCAGAGCAGAGCAGCTCCCTTTATGGCAACCAGAAAGTAGAATAGAA